TATCAAAGGGTTGGGGAATAAAAAAACAATTAGTCATTGTCGCTTCTTCTTCTTCTTCTTCTTCTTCATTTAGTGGTTGGTCCTTGAAAAGTCCCATAGCACTGCGGCCTAATTAGGCCTATTGTGCGTCCCACTACTAGTCCTATTCAGCAAGTAGTTTTGTTCTTTTTACAAAGTCCAAAAGCTTCCTTGCTGACACTTCTCTCAGTTCCCTGGGTTCCAAATAGGGTCTCCCAAGGAGCGCCATTCTGCTACGTGCAAATCCCGGGCACTCGCCCAGGATATGCAGAGAAGTTTCATCCTCCGATTCACATCCTCGGCAGACCGGACTGTCTACAAGCTTCAGCTTATGTACATGTTTCCTAAAGTGACAGTGTCCCGTTATGAGTCCTGTCACTTTCCTGAGCCGGATTCTGTTCAAGCTCAGTAGCTCATTCGCTCTTCCCTTCGAAGGATACTCCATAAGCTCCTTAGAATGGCTATGTCCTGGCCTTGAAGTCCAGTATTTCCTGTGTTCTGTCTCAGTCCATTTGCCCAGAGCCCGCCTGACCACACTGGGAGATGTGCCACAGAAGGGCTCCGGGCCAATGAACACTGTCTCGGATCCCTTCCTAGCAAGTTCATCCGCTTTCTCATTTCCACAAATGCCTTTGTGCCCTGGCACCCAACACAGTCTGACTGTATTGTTGGTGGCCAGTTCAGTCAGCATTTGTAAACAGTCCCACACCAGTTTTGAACTTACCTTGTGTGCGGCTAAAGCTTTAATTGCAGCTTGACTATCAGAGAATATATATATGAGTTTACGTCTATAACCTCTACGTACATTCTCTGCCAGACACGCCATTATCGCGAAGATTTCTGCTTGGAATACAGTAGGGAACTCCCCCAGACTGTAGCTTGCACTCCATCTGGGTCTGAGTCCATATATTCCTGCACCCGTCCCTCTGGTCATTTTGGAGCCATCTGTAAACCAGTGTAAACAGTGTCGCAGTAATAAAAACAAAATCGGATGAACTAAAGTGGTCGTGATTCCAAACATTATCCTTACATGATTTTAAAAGATAATTCATGTATTTTAACGATCTTCAAAATAATGACACAAATGAAAACCCAAAAAAAAAATAAAAAGCTTTATCTTAAAAATGAAGCGTTTGCAGAACTATATTAATGTGATTTTTTTTCTTATTTTTGACCAGAGAATCACTGGAACAATTTTGTCGAAAACATTTTGCAACACCTTGTGTGAAATACATCAACTTAAGGCAGTACATATTTTTTAAACATACGAAGCATATGTTTGAACTGAAATATTTTTACCAAATGATCAGTTAAAATTTATTTCAAAATGTTCGGAGATACGTAGTTAATGAAGAGTGTAGTTTGAGACGTATTTGTTTGTCTTCTGATGTGTCGTGGTAATGCATTTTATCGAGTTGATTAAAACTAAAACGCACCTAGGCAGAGCTTCTAGAAAGTGACACTAAAAATTGAGCAGCCAAAGTTTTTGAAACAATTATTTTGTAGGCGTGGTGTTAGTTGGCAACCAACCTATGTACTTACATTATTCATTAATGTTATTCGAAATATATATTTTTTTTTATTCTCAAATAGTCCCAAACTAATAATGACGTCCTAACAGCCACATGGAAATGCAAGTGATTGATTTTTATCAGTGTTCGCATCTGGCTATTTCATTCCTAATGTCGGACACATCGTGCTATATATAAGTATGCGTAATTCACGTGTTCCAAACTTTGCGTCTAAAAGCGACACCCGTGTTTCTATTGTCATTGTCGGACTGGACCACAGGCCACAGGGCAAGCCAGCAAATGCAAAAATTAAAATGTTACATCTACCAAATAAAACAATGAAAGAAATGCAAATATAAAATAATTAATAAGGATTTAATAGGGCCTGTATTCGTTAAATGAATTTTTATAGTAATTCTCAATCATCTGACCGACATTCATTTATTATTATAGCTCGGTTTGTGGATGTGCAAATTCGATGCAAGTCTGGTATAAAACTGTAGACAGTAGTTATTTACTTTAAAGTATATAACTTTTCATTTAATATTTACGTCGTGGTTTCACTTAAAAATTATATTAAATATGTATATGTATTATAAATATGCAACGCAAAAAATGTTATTTTTCATTTGAGAACTAATTCAGAAACATCAAACTTGTTGGCAAAAATATACTTTGCTTCAATTTGAAATAATTACTCCGTTTCAGCCAACATAGGGAATTAGCAGTCACTATCGATTTACCTATTTGAAGTTAATGTCCCATTTTTTAATTTTTTTTTTATAAAAATGTAGGTGGCTGACGTTCTAAATTTAGAAATATTCTTGTAACTACAAAGGAAATTTATATTTACTATTAAATCGCTATTTATAACCTGACATTCGCCTAAATGCACATAAACACTTTGAATAAGATCTTTCAGTGTTTCCTGTCTGAATAATATGTTTCTAACCTCCAGTTTAATTCGAACTTGTGCCTCATCTAATGTGGCAGATCTATAAAAATGCCATCTTATGTACTACCTCTTCGTCCTATTCATCTGTTGGGAAAAATGTCATTCAGAAAGGTTGGGCGAGTTGTTTTAAAACGTGGTGGTGTCCTATTTGGCTGAAACCAGATTTGATAACTTGATATATCATCGTTGTTATTATTCGAGAGTTTAAATAAAAATGTACATAAATTTGTTTGGGGAAAGTACCAAAATTCCTCCACTTAAGGAAATTCCTCTGATTTCCCCCATGAATTACTTCGAATTCGTCCGACTCCTTTGGATTCCTCCGAGTTCTTCCGACTTCTTTGAATTGCTCGGAATTTATCTTCGAATTCCTTAGACTTCCCCATGGATTCCTTTGACTTCCTATTCAATTTATTTTACTCGATTCTGAATTATTTTTTCAGTATAAAACAGAAAAGCAATTAAAAATCAAAGTGAAGGTGTATTTATTATCTTTGCCTCTATTCATATTCACAATTAGATGTGCTTTCCTAGAGACAACATACTGGTAAATTTTAAAACCGTATGTACTTAAATTGCATATACATAGTTTCGGTAATATACAGGGCGATTTCCAGCAATTGGACAAAAAAATTAGAGTGAAATAGGGCATAAAAGATGTTATAAGTTTGTCATATAAACCCGGGACAAAGTATTAACTGTTTAGAAGTTACATTGTGTTGGATTTAAAAAAATATACAGGGTCGGAAAGTCCTCATGGCTCATCGGCCGTTACGTGAGAGCGATAAAGTAAGTCATAGAAATCCATGCGATAGAGAAGGATGGCTATAATGAAGGTGTCTCATAGTCACCGCCCGTTTCGCCCTTCCACAAATAAGATCCACTTCCACTTATAATTCAGCGACCGGTTGTTATCTTTGTTTTCGTCGTTTGCCTTTTCTGTAATAGATGTCACTACTTATACAATTCCGACTTCGTATTCCGATATGTTAATACAATTCGTTAACAGAGGGCAGCACAATTTGTGATGCCAGATCTACAGATTTTTTTGGAATTGGGAAATAGGGAATTTTGCTTTATTTCTTGGGATTTTTAAGTCATTTTAAAAAGTATACTTAAATAACAACTAAATGAACTTTGAATGCAGCTGAGCACTATACTCCATTTGAATAACTTCTCAGTAGGGGAAACAAGGGCACTAGATTTACAAATAGAGGTATCTACTAGCTACTGTAAAAAGTAGTGACATCTATTAAAGAAAAGCCAAACGACGAAAACAAAGATAACCACCGGTCGCTGAATTACATGTGGAAGGGCGAAACGGGCGGTGACTATGAGACGCCTTCATTATAGCCATCCTTCTCTATCGCACGGATTTCTATGACTTACTTTGTCGCTCTCACGTAACGGCCGATGAACCATGGGGACTTTCCGACCCTATGTATAAAAGGACCAGTGCTAGTGTCGTTGTATTAATAACACGACTATTGATTCACTCTTTACAGGGTGGTTTCACTTTAAATACAGAAACTATAGGACTAGATTCATTGCCAAAAAATAAGTAGAATTTGCTCTATAAACTTTTCCTGCGAGACTCGATATTCGAGATACATTGTGTTAAATCTATTTGCTAATGCTGTTTTATTATTTAGTTTGATATTTTTTCTAGAAATAAAATTATTTCTACACAAAACTGCCAGTAGTGTATTCTTTTCTTGGGAGAAGTTGATGGACCCTTTAGTAGCGCGTCACTGGTTAAAACCGGGAGGTTTCCATCAAATATACGGATTAATTATTAGGAAAATTCAATAAAATGTAAAAATAAGTCCAAATATCTATTAAACGGCTGTTACTATTAAAAAACACCGAGAAACATTTAAGGTAACAGTCCCTGAATGTAACATTATTACAAAAAATCGCCAGTGGCGTATTTGTATTTTTTTCTTGGGAAAATGGGACGACACCTCCAGTAGCACGCCACTGGTTAAAGCCACAAGGTTAATATTATATTCAATAAAAGGTCTAATTAAGTGCATAAGCTGTAGTAAATTTCATGGGAATAGTTCAGCGCAATATGAGAAAATATATATTTTTTTTGAAACTTGAACAACCTGTATCTCGAATACCACGTCCTCCAGGAAAAAAGTTTATAGAGCAAACTCTACTAATTATTTGGCAACTAATCTATTCCTGCAGTTTCTGAATTTAGAGTGAAATGACCCTGTATAGCTTAACATTTTATACAAAATAAAATTTTTACCTATATGTCCATTATGACCATAAGCCTTAAATGCTTTCATGGGCGTAGCTAGGGGGGCAGGGGTGTGCACGGCCTACCCCAGAAAGCCCGGTGCCCACCCCAGAAAAGAGATCCAATAATGTCATCTTTCTCATATCGATAAGTCGCTGACTGCGCGGCCTTTTTTTATAATCAAACGAAATAGTGTTTAGGTTTTGACATTTTACACACTGCGTATTGTAAAGTACTAATTTTGGATCTTTTTTTTTTATTTCAGGTAACGGCACCATCGATTTTCCAGAATTCTTAACGATGATGGCGCGTAAGATGAAAGACACAGATAGTGAAGAGGAAATTCGCGAGGCATTCCGAGTATTTGATAAGGACGGCAACGGTTTTATCTCCGCAGCCGAATTACGTCACGTGATGACCAATCTTGGCGAGAAGCTCACGGACGAAGAGGTAGACGAAATGATCCGGGAGGCCGATATCGACGGTGACGGCCAAGTCAATTACGAAGGTACGCTGAAATCTGGTGCACATGTGCAACCTTCTCATTTTCTTTGGTCATAAATAAATTTAGCACTTTGTATTTCTGGTAACAATGCCTACTTTATGTCCTTACGGCTGTTATATGTAAGGATTTTTTTTAATCTTATTTAGTTCGTATATCCACCACAAATAGATTAAATATGTGAATAATAGAATTATTTATTTTGACTCAATTCAGTTTTTATACAAGAAACTTCTGGTTATTGAGATGTTTTGAAGTTTATTTTTAGAGCAGGACTAAAATCTTATTATTTTTTTAATAGATTATCCTTTTTCATAAGATGAATATTTTTAGACATTTTAAAAAACTGATTACCAAAATATTTTTATATTTAAATAAATTAAGCTAATTCAAATAAGTTCTAAAAAGTTTCCTAACCTTTAGCAAACAAAGGTATACTTAGACCGCCACTAAAATAATAAGAAATTAAAAATAATCTATTCCATGGGCGTAGCCAGGAATTTTCCTAGGGGGGCAAGAGCCAGTAAGTGAAATCTTGGTTGGCCTAAAGTGATTCAATCTGACTGTTTTCCACTACATGGCGTATATTAACCATAATGAAGAAGATTTCATACTTTTGCTTTATTCAGAAAAATATACCAATAGTACATTTTCTGAAAAGGACATAATGTTCTCAGCCCGGTTATTAATACATTTTTTATATGTTTGTTGATATATCTTCGATTTTTTTCTGCTAATAATTCTATGTATTTGCTTTGCTCAATAATTTCTGGAGGAGTTAATGTGAATTCTTCCATCTCAAATAATAAATAATTATTTTTATGGATTTAAATAAGAACAATATGGCGATTACTGTATACCAGTTATTTACTTAACAACACTCGTCTCAGCAACCACAGACGACTTAATGAAATTATTATTCATGAAAGAAGTATCATACAGTTTTAATAATATAAAATAAATAGCTTTGTTTGCTATTATGATAAAATTTAATATGATTGGCGAAAAAATTATGTGTTTAACTTGACAGTAAGTAGATCTAATGTCTTGACTGCTTTGATAGACTCAGCTGCGCCTCGTCTGTTATACTAGTCTTGGCATTAAATCTTGTACTTTACTGCCTAGTTAAACAAATAAATATTATGCCCTGGATGTAAAAGACTTTTACTTTCTGTAGACAAAAACTGTTGTTTTGGCACTTAATAAATATCATGCAAAAGTCAACTTTTAATGACAGTTTAGAAAAATGTAATTTTTGAGACTTGCAGCATGCAGCAAGAATTAGGGGGAGCGTGCCCCCCTGCACCCCTGGCTACGCCCATGATCTATTCAATTGAATTAATTAAAAACCACATATATGGCATATTGAAATTATTAAATTATATTTCCTTCAAACAATTTAAGTTATTTCTTCTAATAGCTATAACTGCAAAGGCAAACACGAAATTAAGTTATGATAAAAATTATATTACTTATTTCTGCATTTTAAGAATTGCTTTTTCAAGTGTTTTTTTTAAATGCAATTTATTGTAATAATTCATAGATGTAGACATATTTTTGGCACTTTTTAATTCATTGACATTATATGTTTGATATTCTAATTAATTATAATCTATTAATTCCATTTTTAAAAGGTTGGCACTTGAGATGAGAAAATGATCTTTAAAATGTAAGTTATATAATTTATCTTATTGTGACTGAATTTTGTGTTGGTCCTCATTAAAGTAATGTTATAGCTATTAAAAACAAAAATAGGAGATAATTCCTTAAAAAGTTCAATAATTTCAGTGTGCCAACTGCAACTTTTTCATTAGTATTATTAGAATTGGGAACTGGGCTATTTTTCATTTTAGAGTTATTAATGACCGGCTTGTCTATGGAATTATTTCTATTTATATTATTTAATTAATATATTTGATATCAAAGATGTAACTTCATTTAAAGAGAATTTCAGAAAATGATTAGAGTTCATTTAGATTAGCTTATGCAATATCGGCAATTGTAAATTGTACAAATAGTTTAGAAAATTTCCAAACATTCGTAGTAAAATTTAATAAACATCTACAATATTTTATAATTTGAGAAACAGTAAATGAATCTTGCATGGTGGTGGATCCCTACTTTCTATATAACTCAGAATACACCTTTAACACTGGTGTTTTAAAAATATTCTTTCGTTTTGTTTAGTTATCAAAGCCATATATGTTTCACGTTCATAAATCTTTCTATTTAGCTTTACTCAGAATAAATATTTTTCACTATATTTTCTGCGAATGGTCTAGTGTATGTATATTTTGAGTAAAAAGTGTGTCGTAGGCAACAATGTTCCAAAAATAATCAAGTGGTGATGTAACGTTTAATTGAATTAATTAGTGAAAAAGCTTGTGTGAAGCCATATATTCTTATTTGCATTTGTCGTGATGCATTGTGTCATTATTGTGGATTTCTTACACATAGAAACTTATACATATCACTTGGTTGTGGGAGCATTGTATAGTAGACCAGAAAGCGTATGACTGGTAGTATTCCTTTGCAGATTTCCGAGCTCTATCGCTCATAGTTTTCAGTCGGTACTCAACACACGCTTCGAGCTGGTCAGTTTGTAGACTTGCTTTGGGAATGTGCTTAGTGGCATGTTTTACTTAATGTCTTATCGGTTTTTCTCTTACCTTTACTATCCTTTTCACTGTTCGCACTTAAAAAAACGAGTCTAATAGAGTTAAGAAGCAAAATGTCCTTTCTGTAAATGTTTTATTGTGACAAAATTTAATTTTATTTTGTTAGTGTGAGATTTAGTCATTAGTCTCCTATAGACATTACAGGTTGAGTATGGCACAACACAATGTGTCACTTCGGTACGCTTGGAATGAAAATGAACAGATGTCTCCACAAGTGCTAAATGTGGCATCAATGCCTTCTTACACATTTTTTTTAATATATTTTCCACATTTTCATACCAAATACATTGGTGCGATACAGTTTGTTACGCCGTTTGTTTTGGTAAGTTTTGTAAAAAATTTTCAATGTACGACGTATTTTCAAATCATATCCATGGAATCCATTTAAGGGAGCTACCATAATATTTTGAAGTTGTTTATGTTAATTCGAAAATTTTCATCTTAAAACGAATTTTGCAGTCGGTATATCTTGGGAGCATACTTTTGAATTAAAGTGAAATTAATGAAGATGAATAAATTTCTCTCAATTAGATTTATTGACAGTTTCATTTCGTGATAAGAATTTGCTCTTTGACTTTATTGGACTTACTTTAGTTCCTTTGTCTATGCTTTTGATGTTAGTTGGTATTTACATAAAGCACATTTCCAAGAAATTGGACCATGCATTGTCGACCTCATGTCATTGTATCGCCCCACCCATATCTCTTAATCATACTAATAGATCTATATAATAATACGTATGTTTGTTGATGTTGTAATTGTTACAGTGTAAACATTTTAACATATTTAACACAAACATACAGAGATATATCTTTGTTTTAACTTATTTTTGTTTTATCTCTAAGATGTTTTAAAAATAGAAGGAATTTTATAAACGCCTAAGTTTACATTGAAACACTGTCTAATTGCTAAATGCAGTCGTCACTTATGCACCAACAATGTTTTCATTTAAAACAACATAAAGGAAAACTGTTAAATTTGTCAACAAATTAACATACATATTTGTTTAAATTTTATTGATACAGAATTTTACACAGGTTTACACAGTACCATTATCAGTAGGAAGGAAAATACCATTACATATTAAATTTCAATTTTGCATGTATATTTTCTCCAAGGTTTTTTTTTATTTGGACATTTTTTCAAATTATTACTTAAAATTTGTATTTAGGTAGTTCGAATTTTTGTTACATGACATCTCGAATATTTGATATTTATAAATATTTGAATATAAACAAAAGTAACCACAAAAGCAACACAAATATGCATGATTTTGAAAATTTAATGAGTTGACCAATTAAAATGTTTTTATCATGGAAGATTATTGTGATATACATTCTGTCAAAAGAGTATCTGGGTTTTGTCAATAAAACAATATTCATCATCAACATTTATTTTGTCTCCTTCCAAATAGGTTCCATTTTAAATGCATATTCCGATATGGACTTCAACTCCTTCAGCGATTTTTGGTTTATGACTTATCAACTCGAACTTTTCCTAGCAGGGGCCATATGGTGGCTGCTTAATGACATTTGTTGAGTTTATAGTCAAAAATTCAATCTCAATTATCACTTTGTGTGATGCCGAATTATCATTGTGCAAAATCCAAGAATTGTCCTTCCATAAATCTAGTCTTTTGTGGTGGATACTATCTCTCTATCAAAAGCTTCATAACGCCCAGATCATATTTGTTGATTGTTTCTCCATCCGGAAGGAATTCTCTGTGGACACCACTATAGTCGAAGAAAACAGTTGAGTTTTGATTGACTGACGTGGTTTTTTTGGTTTCGCTTTATTAAAAAAGCACCATTCCAAAGGTTGTTGGCTTGTTTGTATGCCAAACTCGTTAAGCCATGTCTCTTAAGCCAAAACATCAAGGAAAATGATGCAAACTGATTTGTGAGATATGTTTAATTCATATGCCAGATCTCTCAAACTATAATGGTGGTTTGCAAGCACCATTTCCTTCACTTTATTCATGTTTTCTTCAACTGAAGAAATATGACCAGAACTTGTCAAATCATCAACCTCTTCTCGACCATGTTTGAATGTTTCGTATCATTTGTTGTTTGAGTTTTTGATAAAACTGAATTATTCTACATCTTTTCCAACGGTTCAGCACAAAAAATTCATTGGTAGCACAAAATTTTAGTCAAACTCTTTGTTCAATAACATCCATAGTAATATCCACTTTAGGTGGACTAACAAAATTAACAGCTGTAAATGAACTACTTGACAGATCGCGCTCAAACTCGCGTCAGAGTAGAGTACAGTGTTATCAACTTTCCATCAAAAATGACAAGTCAGATGCTTTTTTGACAGAATGTATTATGTTTTAATTTGTCACGACTATTGTAGCATGATATATTCAACAATTCAGGTGAGATTGCATGAACATAATTGAAGTAGAGGTAATTTTTTTTATTAATTGAGGGAATTTACATGCATATTACTTAAAGAAACAAAAGTGATGGGTTATGATATAATGTTCCTTGTTATTATGACTATTCCTTCTATTTTTCCGTAAATATGAAAATATTCGGCGTAATGCACCTTCAGTATGTGTTGGTATCCGTAGATTGAATGTAAGGTTAACTTTTGCACCGTATTTTGTTGCAGAGTTCGTCACCATGATGACCTCAAAGTGAAGAAGCCAACAGTTTGCATTTCAGCTTTCCATTGTTTCATCCCGGCTCATTATCTACATTTTCAACATCTCGAACTTTTTGCTTGGCTGCCGGGCCACTAAAGTGAATAACTTAATCGTTATTTAATTTACAAGACAAATTTAATTAATAATAAATATTTATAAATTAATATAATTGTGTAAATTTTTGTAATATATTTGTTTTTGGGAAGGTGCCACACCAGTATCTACCTGTACTATATCAAACAATTCTGTGCTACGTGTCTAGTTGAGTCAGTCGTTTAAACTTATTCACAAAGTATGAAAAAGGTACTTATTATATAAATAAAATAAAAAATCGTTCTATTTGATGTTAGTTTAGGGGATACAGAGAATTAGATCACACGTAAAGAGTTTCATGTTTCATACTTTGTGATCCAAATAAATCTGTGCACTTACTAATAGTATGTATCCCCTTAATTTTTGGGAAAAGGTTACTGTTAGGTTTTCTTTTTTCCATCATCCCATTGTACTGTATTGTAGGTTTTACATTTTTTTAGTATATAGTATTTTCAAATATAAAATATAAGGATTCTTTTCGTTCAGCATGTTATTTTTATTAAAATTTTTTAATTTATTTTACAGTTAAGTAAGTCGGTAACATAACGGTTACTATGTGAAATTATTAGATGTTTAAATTTGAAATAAATGTGACTAAAAATATTTTACCTGGTGATTCGTTAATAGTACCCGTATTTGGAATATATTCATTTTTTGTTATAATTTTTTCTTATTTAAAATAAAATAATTACAAAATGTTTACACTTTTAATTAACTCACTCGATTACTTCAATTACTAATTTAGTAACAAACGGTGTTTTACAGTGAAAATAAGTAGGTAAGTACAATTTAAAACATATTAAATAAATCTACTCACATATTCGTGTACAGGGTATTGCAATCTTCTACTGACAAAATTCTATTCGTGATTCTCTGACAAAAAGGAGGGCCCCTAAGGCCGGTTTTTGGCCTACTTTATATTTGGCTGAAAAAATCAGAAAAAATTTTTTTTAGTACCTACTAGCAATACTGAATCGTTTCCACCCTAAACGGACCAACCCCCTCATCCTCCTGTCCCCCTCCACCCCCTTAAATACCGGGGAAACCATCGCTTATTAGAGGAATCTAAAGAGCTTGGAGATGCGAAAGACATTCAATTCCTATGAATCTTACATATGAAGAGTTTTTTGGGTCGCTGATCACGAATTTGGTGTCAGAATCACGAAATTCAAAATGGCGGATCGAATATGGTGGACAAGAAAAATTGAAATGTTTTCAAAATGCATGAATTTTTTTATAATGGGGTTTTTTGGGTCTACGATTACGAATCTGGACTAAATCACGAAATTCAAAATGGCGGACAAAGAGATTAAAATGTCTAAAATGCATGAATTTTTGTGTAGTGGGGTTTTTTGGGTCTGAATACGAATCTGAAGGCAGAATTATGAAATTCAAAATGACGTATTCCATATCACGGACAAAAAAATAAAAAGATCTTCATAATCCTCAAATATTTGTTTATAGAAACTTTCTTGGATCACTGATTACAATTATGAATTCAGAATCACGAAATTCAAAGTGGCTAATCAAATATGCACAAATATGTATATATAATTATTGACTTTCTTTTTCGTTTTATTCAATGTAAATGTGTGACATCTCATTTAAGGGGGTGGAGGGGGTTGGTCCGTTTAGAGTGGAAACGATTCAGTATTGTTAGTAGGTACTAAAAAAAATTTTTTCAGATTTTTTCAGCCAAAAATAAATTAGGCAAAAACCGGCCTTGGGGGCCTCCTTTGAGAAAAAATTGTATACAATTCAATTCAAATTTGGTACATTCAACACTTTTTTAGGTGCGACTAAATGTGTTATTTTTTTATTTTTGGGTATTTTGCCACTTGTGAAACAATTTAATAATTAGTGAAATAAACCCTTGCGTCAAATAAATCAGTCAATGGTTATTTTTATGACAACAGTTTTGCCTAGTCAAAAAATTTCACACTGAAGAAAGCAAACAATTACAAAAATACTACATGGGGACATTAAAAAGTTAACGTTTCGAAAATTTCTTCGTCTTCTAAACTTTTTTGACTTCGTTTTAGTTTGACAGCTTCAGTTTGTCAAATTAACTAAAGTGAAAAGTAAAAAAAAGTTCAGAAGTAAAAAACAAACAGATTTTCGAAATTTTAATGACTTAAAGTGCGCGATATAAAGTGGTATTTTTGTATTTTGTATTTGAGTGCTTTTTTCAATGAAATTTTTTGATTTGGCAAAACTATTTTCATAAAAATAACCCTTGACTGAGTCATTTATCGCAAGGGTTTATTTTACTATCTTTTTTAATTTTATCAGCTGGCAAAATACCCAAAAAAATTTTAAAAAAAACTAAAACTACCACAAATAAATAATTTCAGGTAATACGTTATTACTTACTGTTCAAAATAATCTAGTTACATATTTTTTGAAATGGCCATATTAAAAAACAACATTGTTCATAGTACAGGGTGACTCACTATATTTTGACACCTCTTTTTTGTTTTAAGAGTTATAAAAAAATGTAAAATACAAAAGTTGCACGATGTTTTATGAATTTTTCGAAAATGATATTTGAAAAACAAATGAAGTCCAAACAAAATGTCCGCGGATATTAACTTTGTTAATTTAAGTGGAACACCCTGTATATTTTACATATTTGGATAGTACCTTGTCTGTCGAGCATAGTCATATAGGGTTTGTTGGGTCCATCTCTAACAATAAGCGAGATACTATTAAAAAAGAAAATTTAAAAATATTAGGAAAATAAGATATCTTGTATTTGTTAGACCTCTTTCAGGCACTTCTGCCTTTTTCAAATTACGTAAAGATTTACAGGGTTAGATGTATATTTTGACATATCGGACACTGATATGGTCCAGGTCCAGGTCGGGACTTGTTTACATAAGATTTTTGTTTGTTTTTTATTGGGGAATTTTTTCGAAAATCTACTTAAAAAAGTTGTTAAAACTATTTGAGGTTATTAACGCAATGGGGAATATTCAGTAATAAATCTGGATCATAAAGCTATATTTTAAGGCCAGTTTTATATTTAACATAATTAATTATTTGGTAACCTTGGAAGGTGGGATACATTGTAATCATAAATCAATCAATTCAAATTGATGGTTAATTAAATAATCCCATTGTTGTATAAATATTTATTTTTAGATCTATTATTTCAGCTTAAAGTTACACGAGTTTAAAAATAATTGTGTTGGTGGTTCTAATATAATTTGAAATGTTTAATTTTATGTACATACCCACTGCATTTGGGCACTATGACAAATCGATTTTTTTTGGTTAATCTGACCCATATTGCTATAAATATTTCATTATCTTTATAGCATTGCTTACGTTATTGATAGAATTATCTGAACGTGAGTTTCAAAGTTACATAAGTAACATACTTAGAATGCGATAACCGATTAAATTCCTGAAATCACTCATATTTAAAAGTATTTCGAAACCGATCTACCGTTTATTAAAAAAAAAATGAATACGCCTTTTGACACCACGTAATTAACTATAAAACAAACAAGGTTTCTAATTGAAAAGTTAAATTTTACACGAAAGCTATACCTCTTTCACAGTGGCAGCTCGTGACATATCGAGAATAGGAAAAGCATATTCATCGATTGATGATTAAAAAAAGCGGCGCAGGCGAATATTTTCATATTTTCAAGATCAAACGGCTTTAAGTCAATCTGGAAATTTTTAGCTGGATTTGCAATATTACCGAAAAACTGACATTCGCGAGAAGGATTTTCCTTTAGATTTAAAAAATAGAAGTTCCCCCATGTCGTAGTTTACTCACGTGTTGGCCGCCTCGTTGCCATGACAACCACCGTAAACAACGCTACGAAGTGAAGCGGAATACAAACCGCTTCCGATCCGCGTCACTTGTTTATACTATACGTTGTATGGTATGTAGAGAGCGGACAATGTGTGTCTTTAACCCGAAGAATAGGTCAAATTTTGGTAGAGATGTATACGAGTTCAAAAATATATTGTGCATAAACTATGCAAAATATAATTATTATGTATAGCAAATATATCGTATTATCCTCGCGAAGATTTGTACCCTTTATTTAAAATCCATAAATCATGTGAACAGGTTAAATAACGAGAAAATAATTAAGTTAATTTAGTTTTAAAGAAATGAAATGACACTCGCGCCCATCTCTAGTCCATCCGTCGACATCGGTTGCGTTTATCGAATTCCTATTGGTCAGAATTCAAACTGCAGCCCTGTTATGAATGGAGCGTGAGTTGGACTATTCTATCATGTGCGTTGCCTGAGGATATTCGTTACATTGACTCCTAATTTCCAATTAAAAGAACGACACTATTTTTAACCGAACTTTATTTAATAAATATGTAGTATACAATTTCTGATTTTCTAAATATTTTATAACGCCTAAAAATGTATGTACCGTGGAATTTTCGTGAATTATCACGTAAATTTCCGATGCATACGTTTCAAGAAAAATGGAAACGTTTCTGAAACATGTCAGAAACTGAAAAATGTTTAGTGGGTAGGTTTATGAATGACATAGGATCTATGTTCAAGGTTAAAGTCAGGCAATGTTTTTTAGAAGGCGTTCACCGCGTAACTACTGTTTATTTCTGCGTATAAGACAAGGACAATACATTTTCAATATAGAATTATACCTAAATTATACAATTTATATAAAATTAAAAATAATTGTAAATTGTACAATCTAACCGAAATTTTAGGTGAAGCGGTGCGTCACTTGCGTCACCTGGCGAGCCGCCACTGCTCTTTCATGTTTCTCACAATCAGAAAGTGCCAGTCATACTTCAGATTAATAAATTCAAATTCAGAAAATAGAATTTATTTCTGGGTTAAACATTTTTAAGAATAATATGTCTCAGAAAGTAGTTATTTATGTAAGACAATTTTACATGATTTGATTTTTTTAAAGATATTCTTATGAATATATCAAACCCAATGCAACATAGGTAATGTTTTCAACATTCCAGTTCCAAAGAACTGTTCATCGTATTTAAATTTAAACACAAATGCTAGCTAGTTTTACACCATAACTTACATAACCAACGGTTTTACTAATCTGCAATTATAATCTTTTTTTTTTTTTTTTGTTTTCAACGGTAATTGATGTCAATAATAATTCCCCGCAAATTAAGTTTTTAATTAGTTTTTTAACACACTTATGCCCATAATAGGTCACTGTCATTTCAAGTTGATTTAATATGAAGTAGAGTAAATACCATTTCTAGAAATATTCTGGGAAAATCATGTCAGTAATCTATATTTATGGTAAAATAATAATCAGTTGGAAAAGAGCACATATTTTCAAGTTTCTTAATGTTATGGTACATAATTTCTTTAAAAATTGTGAATAACTGATTTATGCTTTGTAGGGCTTTAGAGTTTTCATATTGCTCGTAAATGCAGTTTGCTTAGTAACAATTGATAAATGTACCTACCGAATTTGAAAATAGAGCTTAACTGAAAACAATATATATATTAATAAAAAAATAACAATGAGGTTCTGTAACTCCGTTAATGATTTCAGTAATAATTAATCTTGGAAAAAGTATTGTAAGAAAACTTCTTTACTATTAGGTAGGTACATACAGGG